TGTGGGATGCCGCACAAGCGCGGTCTCATCCATGTTGATGAAAAGGGGAGGTCTGTCTGCAGAAGCTTCCCTGGAAGCAAGATTCACCCAACGAAAAAATGCGGCTGCCTGCACCAAAGGAAGGGGCTGAGAACGGGGCCGCAGAACGGACCCAAAAGCAGGGCTACCGTGTTTCCTTTTCAAAAAGGAAGGTGAAAAAAACGATGCCACTATTTGGACCCAGATTCGGGGCCGCAGAAAGCGGACCAGAAGTCTTTTTTGACAACCGCAACAAAAAACATGATGCACTGAAAGGCTTTGAAACCACAAAAAAGTTGGCCAACCCTACCGGCCTTAGATCTTCGCTCCTCCACTGGTACATAATCTTGCGGTCGTAGAACACCAAAGCTACAGCCCCATCGCCTTCGAAACCTGGCCAACCACTTCCGCTGCTTCCTTGGAGCGCCAAAGGCCAAGCTGCGCAAACGTTTTCGAATTTTCGGAGGGGCTTCCGCAGCAATGTGCATTGGGATCTGCGCTAGCACTTGTTCCCGAGATGGCGCAACAGAATGCTCTACGTTTTGGACAGCAATCCAGGCCGCCAGCCGGTGTTCCATCACGTACTTGTGAGCGCACAACAATTCATCAAATTCAAAATGACTGAACGGGTCTTTTGCCAACGCAGCCACAGCCGACACAGGCGCGCGCGCGTAAGCCTCCTCAATGTCTGCTAACAAATGTTTTCTGTCGCTGCATTGCTCAAACCTGCGCCGGCCTCTCCTCTGCCACCTGTGCCCCCACCCACGACCCAGAACAAAATCGGCTGCAACTCCAGCCAAGCGCCCTGCCAAGATGTAAACCATTACACAAACAAAATTGTCAGGCCTGCACCGAGACACCACAGGAGCAGGCCGCGGCACAGCCGCAGCTTTGGCCCTCTTGTATTTCTTGCTAGCAGCGTCAATGCGCTTGTTCAACTCCGAGAAGTCTTGCCGGGTCCACATCAGCTGCTGCAATTGGCTCTTTCATGGGGGAAAATGTCGTCCCTTGCACATGTGGAATCCCTTGTCTTTTGAAGCACATTCTTTTTTCTGAACCCCGTTGCACAGCCCAACATGAAAGACTCAGTAAGTCGTTTCAGGGTGGGAACCAAAGCCTTCCCACATGTGTGTTTGGCACTGATGCGCTTGGATGATTGTTGTTGAGCAACTGAAGCCAGCAACAAAACTGGTTGAGAACTCTTGCTTTCAAAAGAACAGAAGCTACTCACAGCAGTGCTCCCCAGTGAGCAAGAGCTTGCTAAACTGAGGAGGCCCCACCTAGAGTGTCCAGTTTTCCTGCGTCAGCAAAAGCCCCGAAACCAAGTCCGCAACTTTGCCTCTGGATCACTGGCCCAGCAACCCCATCATACTTTTCTGATCGCCTTCAAAAATCGCAGGAGCGTGTCTCCAAACTGAGCAGCTGCCCTGAGGATACCTAGTCTTCCTCACCATCACCATCAGCAGCACCGCCTCCAATGAGAACTGATTTAGAGCAAACTTCGGCCATGAGCAACACACTCAAAACCACATCCACCCGCGCGCCTTCGCCGCGATCACTCTCAGATGAAATGGCATCAGCCTCCTCCACATCATTCGCACCTGGTCTGCCAAGAGCTCCACACACGCAGAAAGCAAACAAACAGTCTAGACCTTCCCCTGCAACGCCAGCTGCAGCGCCAGCTGGCAGATTTGGAGGGGGAGCACCATGACCTGTGAAAGTGACACGCGCATAAACAGCCACAATTCCGGGGATCTTTTCACGCAAAAGACTTTCCGCGCCATCTCCACCACCAGCTGCTACCACCGCAGCTCCACCACCTCCGAGAGTGACACGCGCATAGACAGCCACAATTCCGGGGATCTTTTCACACAGAAGACTTTCCGCGCCATCTCCACCACCAGCTGCGACCACTGCAGCTCCACCACCTCCGGACGCAAATGCCCCATGAGTGAATGCTGGGCCGTCCATCGGGCACCTGGCCTCCTGCTCCCGCTTGGTGCACCAGGAGTAACAGGTCGTCACGGCTGAGTTGCCGGGCAGCCTAGTGCGAAACAGCAGCAACTGTATTCAAATTTCGAAGATGTCCAAGCCTGCATCAGGCGGGCACGTCGTTTTTTCATATTCTTCTCCTGCTTTGCCAATGCACGGTTGGCCGCGCGCATCGCGGCCCGTCGTTGCTTCAAGTCATTCAACTCCTCCGCGAGGACCTCACCAAGGAACCAACATTTTGCGCAACAAGAAGACACCCCACACAAAGCTTAGACCGCCTCCACGCGATTCCTCTTTGGAGGCATGTCCTGATTACAAACGGAAACGGCGCGCGCGTTTCAATTGCTTGGCGTTACAGTCCGGCCTCTGCGCGCGTTCCCACAAAGAAACCGTTTTGAACACACAGAGCTGTGGACAGGCGTGCATGCACTTCTCACTGTGAGGCCTAACCTAATTACTCGGCTGCGCTGTGGGCACCCACATCAACATTGAAATGGGGAAGGGAATGGGCAGGGCGGTGTAGCATTCTTGTAGAGAAGCGCACCGCTGCACAAATCAAGAGTGTACCCAACACAAATCACGAAGAGTGCCTGTGCACTGTACCCAACACAAATCAAGAAGAGTCCCTGTGCACAAATTGAGAAGTGTACCTGTGCACAAATCGAGAAGCGCACGGCTGCACAAATCAAGAGTGTACCATCCACAAATCAAGAAGTGTATCACTGGCAACAAAAATCGAACGCCAAATAGCCGCAAAAAACTGTCAAGGTGTGAGCCGCTGATTGCGGAATGGTCCGGTTCGACTGTGGTCACTGAGTTTGACATGGTCAACTTCGAACCTGGGTCTCTGTGTTCTGGATGCCGCAGTTCGCCAAATACCGCGGTCGAGTTGGGCTGCGGTCACTGAATTCGAGGTCAAGTTCCAGTGCGGGTCTCCAAATTCAGGATGGCGCGGTTCGCAAAAGATATTTGGTCATATATTTGCACACTAACATGTTCATACTCTATATGTTTGATTCACGGTTTATGTGACCAAATGTCAAAAAAGTCAGAGGGCAAGATAGCCACGTGAAAGGACAATGTGGCTCACCTTCTCCAGGACGACCAAACGGTCGCACGCAGGATGTTCTGAACAAAAATGACCAATGTGGACACTGAGTTGGAGACGGTCACGTTTGCACACCAAACTGCAAATCTTAGAGGCGCCTAAAACAGGTGTAAGGCGCATAACTATGTGCGTGAACAGCGACACACCATGTCAAAACATGGAGGAACAGCAGTTTGGCTTGCTAACACCCACAAACAGAAACACATTCGTAAAGTTGCGTCCGCCCTTTCAATGGAAGCCTGGGCTCCCCTCTCAAGCAAATGCCTATGCCTACGCGGGATGCCTACGCAGGGTACTGTCACCAACTTTAGTCACATCAGGTGACTCGAAAAGAGCTATATAATCCGCAAGTAGTGGCCCGATGCGACTGGGTCACATCAGGTTCCTGTTTATCTTTCCCCAAGACCCTTGAACAACTTTTAAAGAAGTCTGAATAAGAAAATTCAGGCTTTCATGAAAAGGGTGCCTACGCAAGACTGCCTACGCAAATCTTTCAACACCCACCTACGCAAAATGCTTACACGACGCCTACGCCCCAAGCAGAACAGCCTCCGCGACTTCTCAACAGTTCCCTTTTTGTATAAACCTAATCATTTGCAAAAAAACGTGGCTCATATGGCCAAAGACATCCTCATCTTCCGGCTCCTGACAGATGGACTAATTCCATTGAAAGGCCGATTTCAAGTTTCAAGTTTCTGCTGCAAAATTCCATGGAATTAAATCGTAACATGTTCCACACATGGCCGCACCTGCAACATCTCATCGGAAGCTGGCAGTGGCAGCACCGCCGAAGAGGAACTGGTCAAAGAAGCACTGTTCTTACGAAGATCAGAACCGACCTCAACAAACCACATCCTCCGCTCAATCGCCACCAAGTGTTCCTCATGCCGGGCTTCGTCGGGCAGGAACCCACGCTTGTCCCAATTGGTCGTGAAGCACCGCATGCCCGGAGGCAACATACCATCCTCGTGTCGGCAGGACGCAAACCTGCAAACGGTGTTGTCCAGCCAGGACTTGGCGTCATCAACCGAAGCAGATCGGAGGCATACATCGTCAACCAAAAGAGATGTCGTGCTTTGAAACAAACATCGCTTGACCACATCCAGCTTGTCCAAAAAATAGTAAGCACCGTGTTCCGCCAGCAGGGCGGCGCACAGAGCCGTCTTGCCACAGTTCCCAGGCCCACTGAGAACCAGTGTGCGATCCAATCGGTGTTTGTCACGCCATTCCTGGAGACCGGGAGGAATCTCGAAGTCAGCCACGCCGAACTTAGAAGTTGTATGAAGAAGTGTTGGGGGCATCTTCTCCGAATTCCAAGCACGCAGGCACCTGGCCAGAAGCCGCTCTGGATGGATTGCTTGGCCGACAAAATTCCAAAGAAGATCGTGCCCTTTCAGTTTTTGGTCCTTGGCCAACTGAAATAATTGCTGTTCCGTTTCCACCCCAGCTTCTATGACCAGGTCCGTAAACTCCGAAAAGGACAATGACTTCCGACGCTTGGTCGGACGCTTGGAGCACTCTTCCGGTCGCTTGGACGACGCTTGCACAGCAGCTTTGACACCTTCGTTTCCATTTCGATGCAGCTGACTGTTTGAAACTCTGTCCATGATCTCTGCCGCGTGTGATGCTGTGAAACTCTCTGGCCAGAAGTATGGTTCTGGATCGATGTCTGCGCCTATCTTCTTTGCGCTTTCTCGGAGGATGTAGTGCAAATACACGGCAAGGCCACACAAATTGAACGTCCAAAAACCTTTTGCTCCCAGCGCAGACATGTCCTGGTTCACTTTGTAGTGAGCGAACGGCCTCTGGAATTTGACTACCACATGATAGTGTTGCTCTCTACGCTCTGTTTGAGCGTCCCACTTTTTGTGGGGCTCGGATACGATGATCATTTTCTGCCTCGGCTCCACAAGCTTGGCAACAGCGCTTTGCAAGAAACCTTTCCACAAGAAAAACTGGACAATCGCATGTCTTGGAAGAATCTTGTGAGCAAAAAACAAAACTAAATTGCAATCCAGATGCAAGTCACCTAGTAACCCCCGCTTCTGCAGAGCCGAGCGAAACTTCTCAGCCAAAGTCTGCTTATCCCAATCGATTGGCTTTAGAGTGCCCAGCTGAACTCTCATATCGAAAGTTTTCCCGTAGCATCTGAGACACGGCCACGTCCACATGCCCACCATGCCACGTTCCCCCGAACGTGCTGGCGGGGCACTTTCATCAGAGGAAGATCCCTTGGCTTCTATGAGTTCGATAGGCGTCTCATCTTCCGACGAGGAAGATGAGGAAGACGGCATTGCGCAAAATTGTGGTGAATGCTTCTGTGCAAAATGCTTTTGGCCTGGAGAAAACGCAATGTTCAAATTCCGGGCTTTATAAAGAAGAACCTTTGGCTTCTATGATTTCAGATACGGCGCGGTGCAAACTTCTGGAGAATGCTTCTGTGCAAGATTGGCCTGGAAAAAAGGGTCGCATACGGCATGGTGCAAACTTCTGGAGAATGCTTCTGTGCAAAATCATGGTGGGCTGAAAGGAAAAAACTTAGGGAATTTTGCAAA